CATCATGATTCCGTCCATAAAGAGGGTATGAAAGAGGTTGAAGAGGGGGCTGCCTCAATTATACAGACTTTGAGGCCCAAAGGCGATTGAAAAGGACCATGGGTCAATTCTACTCCCCTTTCTAGACAACTTCATGCCGCAAAGAGGAAGGTTCCTTTTCGGGGAAAGCCCCCTAAAGAAACTTAGTCTACTTCTCCCCCTCCTTCTTTGTCATCAATCACGTAGAAATCTTCACCTTTTTCTACGCCCCTTTTTACACTCCTTCTCGGCTGAAGGGGCCACCGGCGCTTCCTGTGTTCGCCACTATCACAGTTACCCGTCCGCTCGAAATTCAACGATGGAGCTTTGATATGCCAAAATACACAAGCTGAGATACTTGGTACCCGCGGTGCACTGGCATGGCATTGTGCACGAAGCCAGAGGCGATGATCTAGACACGGTGACCGAAGCCGTCGCCATGCTCCAGTTCCCGCTCAACCGCAGGGGATGTTGACGAAGAAGTGTGTTTCACTCACAGTCCAGCCTGCCCTGGAGAATGAATAGCGTGATGAAATCGAAGCTTCTGTATCTTTGGGAGCAGGTGCTTCAGACAGCGGGCAGGAGGTATGTGGATGAAATTGCAGTTGCGCTCCGGACGATCAAGATACTCAATATCGTGCAGAAGTGTCGTATTCCTCTCAGCCCCCTACCTTCATTGAGGCGCTCGTTGGGTGGCCCACCGCCACGTCTTTGCCAGAAATCATCGTCCGAAGTTGAACGAAGAGGCCCGGAGATAGCGGCCACGGGCGGTACGAGCCCATGGTGGATGCACTCTTCCAATGCATTATTCCTTCTCTCGCGGTATATACTTAGGTCACCAATGCGACCCATCAAGACCGGACCGAAATGGGCGAGTCGCCATTGCCTCGTGTTGTAGGACCTCTATCTACCGTGCTACGCCGCATTCCTTTGACTTCGCTTGAGGGCATCTCCGGGATAGAGATTGCCTCAAATGGCATTGATATTGCGCCGTTATGCGAGTAGGCTGATCGGGGGTTTGCTTCCTTTGAGCGCTAGTTCAAAGGCGTCGTGCATGTGTGGCGTCCGCTCACTTGTCCTTTTCCTTCATCCCCTCAGGCCCGTACGCCAACGCCTAATCTCGATGGCCCGTATCGACACGAGCGTATCTTCTTCAAGCGTGAGGACGAGCCCCGCATCGCCGATAAACAGGCGTGCAGAAGTCGATAGCGACTCGCGTTATTTCTTTGACTTGAGTCTATTCGAAGCAGCGACACTCACAGTCGAATCCTTGCCAACCTCCGTACAACAACTGGAGGAGCATCTTGACGCATCAACTGTATCGTCTATCGTGTTGCGCTCAACGACACTGTATGGCGCGCTGGAATATATCCTGTCCGGTACGTGCCACCAGCCCGCCTGTATGTCTCACACTGATTCCGGGATATAGCGACTTCCGAACCGTCCTGCGTCCTTATCTCACAATGGCTCCTCGGCCATTTCCCGACCTCGCTCTCTGAATTCTTCGAGCCCACCCTCGCAGCCCGGTGTTTGGCGCGCCTCGCGATGTCTTTAGGGTCGTCTGATGTTGCCTCCATCATCGATTCGAATGCCGCTGCCACCATCTCTTCAACATTCATCTTGGCCAGTGCAGTATTGCGGACCCTTGTCGGCATGTTCGACGAAAATACGTTCGCAGACGCCGATGGTTCAGCCACCCGAGGCATCAAGCAGCGCCGGAAATCGAAGGCATCGTCACGTGTTTCAGTTACCATCGACGACAAACCTTTCAAAGATTACGGAGCGCAAATCCCTGCGTCTCGTGAAGAAGCGCTTGCCCTGGTAGAGAGCATCTTGCAGAGCCAGCGCCTGGCGCTTCAGGTAAGTCTCCCACCCGCGATGCCACTCCTCACGTTGCTGATCTGCCCTCGCATGTAGGAGTTGCTCAGCCTCACCCGCCGGCCGGAATTGAAGGATAAGCTCCGCGACGACTTCCTGATACATGGCCCGAACTCCGATGGCATCAGTGGTATTGGCTCGATGGCGGCGTCTGGCGTGGCCTCCAATGAATCCTTGGACTTCGAGGATCTTCACGCTTATCTGACTTACCCGAGCCCCAATGGCTTTGGGCGGTGGCGGATTCTTCTTGCGGGCAGGGCGGCTCGGGATATCGACAACCTGCGCAAAAGTGGTAGCGGCCTTTACGACGTCGTCATACAAAAACTGAGGTGAGCCGGATTAGCAGCTCGTTCATCTACAATCTACTGAGCTCGAGCTCTCGTTCCATAGGGAACTCTCCTGGGGTCAGTTCTCGCTGGCGAACCACAAGAAGATCTCGCATAACAGCCCTGTGCCTATCTTCGAAGTCAGGTTGCCTAGCAATCCGCGCTTGATAGTAGGTTGTCTTTCAGCCGCCCACTCTTCGTCAACCTGAGTCGTCTTTGCAGTATCAAATCGATTGCGTGCGCGAGACCAAGAACGATGTATGTACCTCTCATTAGCATGCCGCCTTCTGATTTGACTTAGCTCACTCCTGCATCTTCAGACCCCTCGACAAGGTAAACGCGTCTACCTCTCACAAGCTGTCTGCGCGGCGCTGTGGTACTGAACTCTTGATCCAGTTTTGCTCGTGTATGGGTTATACGACCACAAGGGCGTGTCTCGTACCCCCTGGGATAAGTACGGCAAACAGCAGGCTCGCCGTGGGCCTGCATATGTCAGCGCGTAGGTCATGTCTGTGCACTCGAGCATCGCGGAACGTATCTGACATGCCTCGTAGTTGCCGTCACCGGAGTCAGCCACGTGTTCCAGGCAGTGACGTCTTCGAGCCAGCCGAATTCCCCAATATGACTACGTCGCTGGATATGGTCCATTCGCTTCCTGATGTCGACGAAGGTGAACCAGACACTACGCTGTCCAAGGCAGAAGCACGAGAGGTGCGTTCATTCCGTGCGTTTGTCGTGATGTCATATTCTCACACGCTCGTCAGCTTCATTCCCTTCTTGTGTATGTTCATCATCAGTGTTTGCGATCCTGATGATTGACGCGTAACAGGCTTGGACGCCATGCCATCCTATCCCAGAACTTCCTCGAGAGTGCGTGCTCTGCTCATTGTAGTGAGGAAAGCATCTCATCTGTCACAGGCCTCAAGCAGAACGACGACATAGCGCAGATCCACCAGTTGTCGTGCGTGCTTTGATTGCGAGATTGAAGATCGCTCTCACTTCTTTATTCTAGTGATCGTGAGCGAGACGTTGTGGAACATGGGACCTCGTGCTTTGTGATCGGTCGCAGTGGGACGGGGTAAGCCTCCCGTAACGCGATCTTCTCTAGGTCATTGGACTGATTGCACGCACAAAGCAAAACAACGACGATTCTATTCAAGATCTTTGGCATTGAGCGCGCTTGGGAGCACCTCTCGCACGCACGCTCGCTACGGCCGCGACAGCTTTTCATCACCAAGTCAAGTCTGTTGGCGAAGAAGGTCGAACAGGAGTTCATATCGTTCATCAAGTATGATACTATGGCCGAGCACGCCCCTCATCACTTCATTCAACGGGTTGCGCGCGCCGAGGATCTCGATACCGACGCCCTCTTCACCAATGAGGATCTTGGTGAATGGCGGAAAGGCCTCCCTCTTCGCTATAGCGAGCTCACAGACGAACACTTTCCTCTCTTTCTCACCTATGATGAGGTCGGTACTCTGGCTCAACTGGTTCTTCGTTTACTCTACTGACTGTATCCATCAGCTATGCACAATGCTTGAGAACGATTTCAAGGCTGAGGACGACCTTCGCGAAGCGAAGAGCGCGCCTTGGAACAGCTACCCGCGCTACGACTCGGACGATATCGTCGATTTCGATGTATTCACGGAGCATTATTGGAGTCGACTCCCGACTGAGCTTACTCGGCAGACGGGTGCGTGATGTTACAGTGGCACGCCGATGCCAACCATTGCTGACTTTGAGTTCGTCTCCAGTACCTTCCGTCGCATACGGCGAGTTTGTCGGGGTTTGCGAGGGTTCGGAGGAGACGCTGAGTGCTCCCCACAACCGCCTCAGTCGCGGCCAGTACGAGGAGCGTCGCGTGCAGCACATCGACTACGCGCATTTTGAGGCATACTTGCACATCAAGGCTCAAAGACATGAACGCGACGCTGCTGATAGGTTTGCACCATTATTTGAATAGGGCTTGTTGGGCTTCGACATCTCAACATCTTGACAGGGCCCACGATCTCCTGCGGCGACTCGAATCTGGGACTTTCCCTGGCCGTCGTATTGACTTTCTGTAAGTTACTTGAACTATCTCAATGCCGGGCTTGCGTATACTCACGTCGCCGCATAGCTATGTTGATGAGGTGCAAGACAACATCCTTGTCGAGATCTCGCGTGAGTTCGGGCCGTGTATGGTCCCATCAGCGATTGAACATGTCTGTGTTTCAGTGTTGCGCCGGATCTGCCGAAACCCGAATGGCCTCTTCTGGGCTGGTGATACTGCGCAGACGATATCGCACGGGAGTGCCTTCCGCTTTGCCGATCTTACAGCGTTTCTCTATCGGTTCGAGGTGCGCTCGAGCGATAGAATGTATGCGACTCTCGATAACCAAGCACTACCAGCAAAACCTTATCGGACTGGGTTCACAGCCGACCAAGCCCGCCTTCTTCCAGCTGGCCATCAACTACCGCTCTCCGGGCGGTGTTGTAGACTGCGCGCGCTCTGTTGTCGATCTGCTCAAGCTCTTCCCTCGTGCCGTCGACAATCTCGATCGCGAGGCAGGCATCATACAGGGCCTACGTCCTCTGTTCATCGGGCGGGATGCGGCCACCGTTGCACAAGAGTTCTTCCGAATTGGCCCAGAGTAAGCACGACATACTCGATCCAGCAACCTTTGCCCTGACCTTTCTTTCAGTGGAAGAGCAGAAGTCGTCTTAGGACATAATCAATGTGAGTTACGCCGCACTTCCCTCTCGCCGGTTCGTTCAATTCCCTCGTATGAAGGCATCTTGGTTCGAGATGAGGCTGCGCGTGCTCGCTTGAAGAAAGACTTGAACCTTGTTGGCGTCGGCATCATATTGTACGTCGTTGTTGTTCTACGGCGGAGATCCTTCTCATCTAGCCATCTGCAGGACCATATACGACAGCAAAGGTCTTGAGTTTGACGACGTGAGTATCTTCTTTCCTTATCCTATCCTATCACCTATACAGGATCGTAAACCGATCATAGATTCTCCTGTACGACTTCTTCGCGGATTCAGCAGTTGACGTCCGTCTCTGGCGACATCTCTTTGAAGCATGTGGTGACATATCTGGTCCGGAGGTCAAGCGCTACGACATCGAAGACCGTCGCCACTCTCCTCTTGCCGCCGAAGTGAGCGTGATTCCCTTATCCTCCCCGCGGCATGAAACTGATGGCTGACAGCTGAAACATCTGTATGTTGCCGTCACGCGCACTCGCCGTAACCTATGGATACTAGAGACGTCAAATGATCACTGTGAGCCAATGAAGGTTTGTCTGACATTGGCACCTCTACCGTATGTTTGCCTGGCCGTTGACGATGCATCGCAGGATTATTGGTCCAAGCGTGGTTTGGTTGAAGATGCTAGCGCCGAGGTGACACTTGCCGGATTCTCCGAGATCTCGGCGGCTAAGGATTGGGCGCGTACGGCCGGTCGTCTATTCACACGGCGTAACTACGAAGAGGCCGCTTTGGCCTTCGAGCGCGCCGGTGATGAGCGACGCGCCCGTTTATCCGAGGCGTTTCTGGCCAAGAAGTCTGCCGGCAGTAATCCTGGTGGAAGACGTCGCCGTGAAGCGTACGAAGCTGCAGCATCAAGACTGCTCGTCTGTGCTGCCGAGGCGTCTATAGAGAACGAGATCAAGGGCATCTTTGGAGCTGTCGCGGACTGCTACGTCGAGCTCAACGACCATGAGCGTGCTGCAGGCGCTTTCGAGCAGGCGCATCTTTGGTCAAAGGCGGCTGACCACTACTTCAAGGCCAAGGCACTGGACAAGGCTGTCGCCCTTGTCAAGGAGGATAAAGCGCGCATGCGAGCGGAAATTGATGGCAGGGTGAGGAATAAGATCGTAGAGACGGCAAAGTGTGCATACCTGGAGAGCCTTCGCATTCAGTAAGCCTCCCGCTCACCAGGTTGATTCATCTTGTTGATGTTGCCATAGGGAAGCTCGTGAGCTATTCGATGCCAAGGACGAAGAGGACCTCGAGGAGTTCGTTGAATCACACGATTTCATCGACGCGCAAGTGCAACTACTCGAAGACCGCCTTGAAGTGGCAGCAGCGGCGCGTTTGCTTTACGATGAAGGGCAGGCCATTCGTGCTCTCGAGAAGCTGGTGCTTCATGGAGAACAGAAGGAGTGTGTATCTGCCGCGCTTGATCTTGGGTTCCGACTTCTGCGTGCTCAGCTATCTCTCGGCACACATACCTTACCGCCGACATCTACCGATGAGGGGAGCGCCGTCGCCGAACTTCTCTCTAAACTTCCTATCGAGTCATTGGATCAGAATCAGCGGCGAGAGGTGTGTATAGTACATTCCTAGCAAATTTCGACCCTGACAATCATATGAAGCTTGCGCTTTATCAAGATGTGAAACGCCAGGATTGGGCGGCTCTCAAACGCGGCGGCATACTCGCATTCGTACGACCGGGAGGAGCACCATTCGGCTTGCTATGCTTTGACAAGTACTTCAGCGACATGTCACACGTCGGCGTAGATGACCCAGCATCACTCCTGACTTTTGTCGACCTGTTCGGTCGATATGTGAGGCAGATGCGAGAAGTCATCATGTACACTACACTCGACAATCTCCAGCTACTCGGCATTCACCGCTTGGACGACGACCACATAGAGCTTTTCCCAGGGACAATCGCAGGAAGTGCTTACTTGCGGAGACATGGCCCAGACACATCTCTGCGTATTCGTCATACCGCCGTCATTGGGCTTATCCGCTCTCAGCTATCGATCTACCTCAAACAGAAGATCCACGACCAGCTCGCGAAGATTCAGACCGCCGCACAGATCTTCAATGCCTGCACGACTCTGTCGCGAACTGGAATATGTCGGAAGGTCCACACCGTCTCTGTCGCGCATGATCTGGATGAGCATTGGTACAACAAGCGCATCCAGTTCCATCTACAGCAGATCGAGATTCTGCACATCGTCCATCAGATACCGCACGCGGAAGACTTCCGCGCCCGTATCGTCCAGCAGATGTGGGAAACTTCGCGCGAATCGTATTTGGATTTTAAGCCGAATGCTGACCATTGTATTCTGCACAGGACATGGCTCGCACGATTGGAGAACAGTCTGAATCCTCTCATCTTTCTGAACGGATCTCAGTCAGTATTCGATCCGTCGGCTGTCACCGTCGCCGAACATATTATGCCCATCGTGAAACAATGGTGTCTGGATGTTCTCTACCACCTCGACCCCACCGACACAAGTCATCAGCATCCTTTCCTCAACATGTTCCTCATTGCCGCAAAACTTGGCATGCGCATCGACGTGGTAGACAAGAGCCATATTATGGAACGCCAGCTCGCCACCGTACCCTGCATCACGGATCGACGGAAGACATATTCACGGCTCATATACCGCGAACCGAAGGGGACACGTTTCTACGTACTCCCATATGTTGCGAACTACCTGCGTGGGTTCGGTAACGTTAAACAAGGTGTGGAGTTCCTGAAGTGAGGCCATTTGCGTTCTTCCGTCATCATACCCATACTGACTCCGAATGCACGATCTATCAGCACGATCGTCGAACGCGAGTTACCCGTCGACTTCGGCACTCTTTGCGACTTTGCGGACCGTCTCACAGGGGTCTTCATCTTGACACGGACTTATCAGAGAACCCGGTCTGTTCACGAAGTGACTCTTCCGCGTAGTTGGGCTGTCGAGCTCTGGTCGGAATTCTATTGTTATAGAGAGCACAACACTGCTCATCCCGCTCGCCTCGTGGACATCCTGGGTCGCCTTCTGGTCAAAGTCCATGGCGGTGTGTTACTAACTCCTGCGACTCATAATACCTCGCTAACCCTGTGTAGACGTCTTGTATCAACGGCCAAAGGCCTACCTTGACCTTCCACGCGACGCCGCTCGTGACGCGTGTATGAGCAGAATGTACGTCCCATATCCCATACTAGGTAACACTCGATAGATGTTGACTTTCCATACAGTTGCCGTGATCTGATCTTGGGTGGGTTGTACCTTTCTCCCGTGTTACAGTTCCTGCTGACAGTCCCTAGTCGGGTACAACATTGCTGGACCAGATCTTCGCGACAACATAGTGCGCGTCATCAAGTCATTCAAGAAAAACGAAGTCACAACGCTTCCGCTGAGCAGGCCGTAAGTCCCAGTCAACTGCGTGTTGACATGAAATACTGATCATCGCGCAGATATCTACTATCCGACAATTGGACTGATCTCGCCATGGCTGCGATCCATTCGTGTGGACGCCACATCTCCGACAACATGATCCAGTTATGCTTCAGTGGCTCACCGAGGCGACCTCCTCTTGCATCTTCGGACATTGAACAGGTCTTTTTCCAAGGCATGGCGGATATACCCGTCGTTCTTGGCTTTGGAGAGGACCTTGCACCAACGGATGGTGAACAAGGAGAAGGTGTACACAGAGAAGCAGTCGTACAAGCGTCGTCAGTCATCGAACACGACTCGGTGGCATCCGACGTCGTCGTATCAAGTGAACCCCAAACGGCTGACAACTCTTTCGTTTCCACTGTACAAGAGGGCGCCGATGAGGCTTCTCGTGACGTGGAGGATGAGGGCGAGCTTCCGCAGGTTCCGAGCGAGTATCAAGAGGAGCAGGGTCCGAAGCTTCACGCAGTCCGCATCATCCAGGAGGCTTGGCATTGGCGGCGTCCACCCCAGGGCACTTTGTCCGCTGCATTGCACCGTCGGATTCGTGAACACCGTGCGCGCGCCTCGAGCTTGAGCCTTACACCAACATATCGTGCCGTGTTCATCGTGCATCTGCCGCGTCTTCTGCTTAGCGTCGAACACATCCTCGTCCGGTCTCAGGAGGAGCGCAACAGTTGCAAACGTCAGAGGTTGCGCGCGGCGAGGGTTCAAGACCTTGACTTGCAGTTAGAGTTGTCGTCTCGGACGAAGGAGCTTCAGTATGTGTCTCAAGATCTAGCAAACCTGTAGCGCCCACTCATTCCGATGATGTAGTTCTGTGGAGCGTGCCGCCGCGGCCTTGAATTCGGCACTGCGCCCCGAGTCAAACCTTCATAGCCGGGCTGGAACTGCGCTATCGGAAGTTCGGAAGTGCGTGCACGAGCTGCAGCGACTTGTGGTTATGGTTCCACTTGATAACTCTTTGAATGAGGTATTCCAGCTGGCTCTGCGGGGTATCGAGCATGCTGGCACGCGCAACTACAGAGGCACCCATGCTAGACCGGGAGAGCCTGGGGTTGCCACGAAGCCCGTTCTGAATACGAAAGACCTGTAGATCTCCTTATCTGGCACATAGCACGAACGCCAACGACTTCTCGCCTGTGTTACTTGACTGTAGCTATCTCCTCACGAAATGTACTTTTATTCGAGAATCAATCGCGTTTTTCGTAATGGAGTCTTAGATCCATTGTTTGGGTTCCTTCGAGTACTTAGAGCGGAGAACGCCGAAGCCTGCCGTGCGAGAGAATGGGCAGACCACTACCGCGGCGATCTGATTTCACTGCGACAAGAGACAAGGATGATACCTCGTATGGATAGCAGTCCGGTGCGGACTTGGATATGATACGAGTGACAGGTACATCATGAAATTCGAAGGTGATACAGTACGGTAAGTGGGCGGCAGGAGTACAATCGACCGTGCGTGATATGTAAGATACAAGTATGCGATGATGGGTCTATGTGGGGTGTAGGAGATGTGTACGTGATACAGGCAGGGAGAATACATGCAGCAGGGAAGGATGCAATGGAAGAAGAGCGCATGGCAAGGAGTGCCATTGTACGTACGAGGGTGGATGGCGATGTCGGAAAGGGGGACAGCATGTTCGAAACGACTCGGACGGTTGGAGCCCGAACACCTAGCCCAATGTCTTGCTTATACGACGCGATTCGCCCGGCCACCAACAATCGAGAATTCGTGGTATAGCGACAACGCGACGCGTGCGATCACGTACACACTTCCCAGTGTCATGCCCACGAACACGACGACCTTCACCAAGTGGCCGAGGAGCATACCGAGCCTCAGAACAAGGTCGCCGAGGGCTATGAGGATGCCGCCGATGGCCGAGAAGATGCTGGCGAGACTCACACAGAGCTCCCGGATGACACTCAGGAGGTCAGCACAGGCATCTGTGAAGCTGAGCTCTCCGTGTGCACTCAAGTCCTCGGACGTGGCGCGTTCGCGGGATGCTATGAATCGGATATCAATCATCGTGAAGAAAGATACATGTGACTGGCAATGTGTACATACCATTGTGCGAACCCGTTCCCGAATGCGGCGTGGTCGGCTCGGGCCCCTGTGTTGTAGTGTGGTTCTGCGGCAGGGCGGAATATGCGGGCGGAGGGCTTTCGTGGAGGGGAAGAAGAGTATAATCGGCTTTCGTGGGGGATGGCATCAAGCACGGTACTTGGGCTGGGTTATATGCGAGGTGGTGGTCGGGGACAAGCTGAAGACGGAAGAGAAAATAGTGATTCTCGTCGTAGCACCGAAACCCCTGTTCTTGTCAGTGCGCCGAAGTCTCTGTTCTCGTCGAATGAGCTCCTGTTAGCTCTTCACATAAGGTGTATGCTTAGGTAATCAAGCGCCGGTTCTCTCTTCCATGCGGGTCCCACTACTTAGAGGTGTAGAAGTGTGAGCACTGTATGGAGCGCAGACGCCCTCCGGTGTCCTCCTTCATTTGCCGTGAAAACGAGTCCGAGGTGCACGAGCCCGAGCCGTAGCAAGTTCACGTCGAGTACTACTAGGCGGGTAGCTGTAATGCACTGAGAATATCATTGCATATGCGAGGAGTCATGGACGTATGGTGAAGGCCGCTCAAGCGCGCTCAGAGCGCTCGCGCGGGAGCTCGACGGATAGCGGACCGAAACACCGAGGAACATCGATGACGGCGCTCAGCGCCGTCACCACACCGCCACAACGTATATCAAAAGTCTTTACCTGTTTTGAACCTCGGCAGTACATGTTGCATCCTCCACGTGACGATGATAAGCTGCTCTCTGCGCTCGATGTGATGTTCTCGAAGTACTTCGAGGAGAAAGACGATCCATCCAAGGGGAAGAGCCCGGAGGGGAAGTTCTGGGGGACGTACATGCGGGCCATGAAGGATGAGGATGAACAACGACCGAGGGACTGGGATGGAAGTACGGGCAGTATCCTAACCTTCGTACGTTTCATTGCGTCCGCTCGAATGGTACATACACTGAGCCGCATCGCAGAGCGGTCTGTTTGCTGCTACCGTCGCGGCCTTCGTCATCGAGAGCTCTCACTCGCTTTCACCGGATTCAGGAGACCAGACTGTTTATATCCTTTCCCAACTCTTAAATGCCACGACCAAGGCGTCAACGAATTCAGTGATGGGTGTAGCATCCCCCGAACCGTTCCGGTTACAGATTTCGGCCGTTCTTGTCAATGTCCTGTGGTATTGCAGCCTCTTGATTGTGTTGGCATGTGCGCTTCTGGCCACCCTTGTTCAGCAGTGGTCTCGCGAATATACTCGCGACATTCAGAGGCGAGTCGTGCTGGACGAGAGCCTTGTCAGTCGGGCTTATAACCACGTGTACATCCGCATGGGCGTTGACCGCTACGGCATGGACGAAGTCGTCAACTTGCTTGTTTCCCTCGTACACCTGTCCGTGATTCTATTCGCCGTTGGGCTCATGTTATTCCTCTTCCCGCTCAACTCCATCGTTGCGTGGTGCAGTTTGTCTGTGCTGCTTGTGTTCGGGCTTGCGTATGTTGCTGCGAGCTTGATATCGATATTTGATACCGCATGTCCATATAGAACGCCGTTGACGTATCCGCTCGCCTTCGGACATTGGCTTCTAGGTCGCATGTCTCATTACGTTCATGATACATTGCTGCAGAAAGACATGTCATCGCTCGTAGAAGCATTCTTGGCATGGTGCGTCTCAGTGTTGCCTCCAGCATCTACGCAGGTGGCCCCCAAGAGACGTGCAGTATATTTGTATGACGAAGATGACACGTTCTTGTCCGTGATGCGCTTCAAGTTTGCCTGGCTTCACACGAGCCGCCAGATGTTCGATGGAGATTTCAAAGCCTTGCTTCAGTTCGTGATGACAAGATTGGCATCCATGTCAGAGGATCTGCGCGAAGAGTGTATACTTCATCTCACAGGGGACGAGCAGTTGAGAACCCGTTTTCGTCCCATTGGATCGTACTGGCTCGGATCTTCGGACTACGAAGCAGATGTGATGAGCTATCAGATGTGTTGCATACTGTTTCAGAGGTTCTACGATGGTCATCAAAGCGCGAGCCTGTATGAGCGAGATGACATGGCTTTGAGGCGATACCTTCAAGTTGTGCTTTCAGGCGCGACGACTTCCTCGATCACTGCATATAGCGCCATGTCGACCCTTCGCACGCGCTTGTGTTTGTTCTACATGCGCTGGTATCTCCTTATCGCCCTCGTTGATGTCGGAGTTGATGGGCACGTCATGGAATGGGACGTCGTGCAGATGATGTCGTACATCTTCCAAGGTCACGGAGAAAAGAATGAGATGGAGGCTGCAGGGGATGAGCTGACCTCCCAGACATACCATCGAATCATTGGCAGGCCATGGACATTGCTTCGCCTGCTCAACTCTTGGTCAGTGAACTCGATGGATGCTATGGTACATACGGATCAGAGTGACCTCGAAGAGACCGCACGTCGTTCTTGTCTCGTACCCCTTCATGACGACAGATGCTGCAGGGACAGCAGCATTACAGGTCATATCGCCGCCTGTAATGCTCTTACAATGATCGCGCATTTGCTACGAGCGCCCGAAGGAGAGCGCATGGAGCTACTGCGACAACAATCTGAGTATGACCGTTTGTTCAATCACGGTGATTCACCATTTGTGTGTTGGATCAACGACTTCGAAGTGAAAGCTGAGGAACGTCAGAGGGCACCCTCAGCCGAGTTCATAGAAGTTCTTCTTGCGGCAAAGCTACACGACTGGCTGTCACACAACAGTTCCTTAGATTACTCGCTATCGCACGGGTCTCCTGAGCGTCGACTTCTTCTTCATCGACTTTCAGATCATGGCATCCTGGATCAAACTTCTGTTCCGCCCTCGACCATCTTCACCGTCGTAGATGTCCTTCGAGCACTTGCTCGACGAGTCAACTTCAATGCTTTGGTCGTAGTTGCATCTCAAACCCATCCGCCGGATCCAGACGTCGGTGCTAACGTAGAGGAAACGTCCATCCGCGAAACGAAGTCTGGCCGTACATCCGGATCGTCGGCGGATCCCTCAGATCAGGAACCCTTCGCAGAGGTTCCAGTATCGCCCGTTGCCTCTCGCATATCTGCCGAGTTTATGGGAGACACACCATACAATGTTCAGGAGCCGTTGTCCGCGCAGACGGGTGGATCGTCTTCGCTAACCTCTGACGTTGTAATCTCATCCACGACCATGAGCCCTGGGCCTGGAAGGATCCTCTCCTACAGACCCGAAGATGACCAGGAAGACTCAGACTTTGACACTCGGAAACGAAGAAAGTCGCCCCAACACGTGACGGAGCAGTATGTTCAGCTTATGGCAGAGTGGCAGCACTCGTTCGGTAGTCAATGGGAGGAAATGACCATGCACGAGCGCTGGGATCCGTTTGAAAAGAGGATGAAGGTGAGTGTCCACATCCTATGAGGAATACGGCTTGATTGAGCTCACGCTCACAGGATCATATTGGACGCTCTGCGGCGGCTTGGCACTTGGCCTATCAGCGCTGGAAGCAAGGTACGGATCATCCAAGATGTTCTATTCATCTGTCTCTGACCGCCCTATGCGTCATAGTTATCATGGAGAGGGTGAGAGAAATTCAAGACAGGGAAGAAAATAACCCTGGCGAGGCAACAGAGAACCAGGATCAAAGTCCGTAGGTAGTAGTCCTCGCACCTGAGCGCAAGGTCCTACAAGCGCCCCTTCCACGGGCCCGGTCTTCAGTAGTGAAGCATTCCTGCATCTGAGAGCGAACCATTCATCTCAAGGAAATGCATATCCGTATGCCAATCCTCCGTGCAACAGTCACGGCCGACCGTCATCGGCGTGAGCCCAACTCGCTCAGTACTTGTGCGAGTGAGTTTTGACAGGTATTGTGCCGGAGTACCGAAGGATATCGCAATCCCCCCTGTACAGTGTACGGTTCGTAGTGCGTCCATCATGCGCGAGTAGAAATAATGCTCCATATGTCACCCGTCATGAACGTAGAGTCCAAGTTGGGCAGGCGCCGGTCGCTTGTGAGGCCGACGGAACGTACCGGGCCGAGCTTCCGCAGTAACTCCAACCTTATGATGGCGTTGACGCGGCTCTCACCGCACGGCCACAACCCATAACGAACGCCTGTCTGCACCTGAGATGGCATATTCATCCACAGTACTTCTACAGGATCTCTACATGAAGTCATGCAAAAGACTCTACAGTCAGGCATATGGTGTCTGCCTGTCGAGAATTCGGACGTGGAGCCGGCGAGTGCCTCTTGCACACAACGCGATCCCGTTGAGCGCGCCATCTGCCGTCAGCGGGATCCATACAGTATCCGTACTCATTCCTCGAAATACAGGACTGCCTATACAGGCTGTTTTTGCTGAGTCCGCTACTTGAACATGGTCATATACAAGACATCACGCATTTACCAAGCTTCAAGCTTCCAGTTCCTTTCAGAGGACCGCAGTCCCATTGCCTTGGACATGGTACGATGTCTTTCATCTATGTTACCGACGCGCATAAGATGGAACAGGTAAGAGGCGCCCTGTCTGCCTCATCGGTCCACTCTGTGCCTATTTCGGCTCCAACGGATACACTCTTATTCACGACTTTCTCTCACTCCCAAGCCCCATTTCCCACCGAGCACCCCGCAGCCACTCCGTGGGGTAGTAGCTATACACCATGGGAGTCTCTTGAGTACCCCGTCTTACTCCGCAGCTCCCACAAACCTCGTTATCTGCATGCCACGACCAAACGGACCGCTAAGCACAATGGCTTAGCACCTCTGCTTAGCACGAGAGAAGGACGTCGCTTTTTCCGGAGCCATGCCGAGGGCAGGTACAATGCTTTGGAGTGTGCTTATGCGGTCTGCGCGTGAAAAGAAGCTCGTTGGCTGTCCTCGTATGGTATAGGAAGACTGCGTCTGACTGCGTGTTCCGACCGCTGGCTTTGCCTTATAAGCTGCTTCAATGAAACGCTTCCAGTCTTCACCAAACAGTTCTTCGTCAACCCAACCATCTCATAACACTCTTCTTCGAACGCTCATACAACCTCAACGCCACCATGTTCTCATCATCTAGCTCTACAAACCAGGTACGTGCCACTGGTCTTCGAGCTGCAGGATGGGGCTGGTGTTCTAACGTTCGTCTACAGTCCCGCCGCGACGTTGACAGGTCGAACCACTCTCACGCACCAACGATGAACGGCTACTTGACCGCAAAGAACGCCGGTCGTAGTGCCTCATTACTCTCACTACCCTTCCTGCATCCTTCGGTGAGCACCCCCTTCATGGTCGCCCGTCATCCCATATTGACTAGACGTCACAGAGTCACCGCACATCCAAGCGGGAGAAGCGATCCAGCGCACTCTCATACTCCACATACTCCTCTGTACGTCCTAGTATGACATGCGCACAATGGTCGCCCGACTAACTTGTCTGTAGCAAAACCCCGATGTCGCGGAGATGCTCGACGACGACAACATGTCGTGGGGAAAGACGCCCCGGCAACATCGCCACCGTCGCTAGCCATCATCTTCCCCATCCCCATCCCGATCATCCCTCCTTCCATCTTGATCATCGTCCGCTGAGCGCGATGAGAAGATGGCGGGACCTGTATACCACGGATACTCATTCCAGCCTGTACAACTTACCACGTAGACACAAACACGATAATAAGATCTGAAACATCATCGAACGGCGTGAAAGAGGACTGGTATAAGAAGTACGTGAAGGACATGAACGTGCGTAAGATATCCATGAAAGAAAAGTGTACATACAAAAGCAATCGAGAGAGCAAACGAGCGAGTGTAGGTAAGAACCAGGGCCAACGCAACAAAGAACCGAAAACAACATAGTAGACACCCGAACACCCCGAACCTCAGAACCTCCTCGGCGCGCCGACCAACCCCTCAATACTCTGATGCTCCAGCTCGTTCCTCGCCTTCAAAATCTGCGCATGCATATCCTTCATAGCCGCGCCCAGCTTCTGTCCGAACCTGCTGAGGATCTCCCTCTGCCACGCGTCGTACTTGGCGTTCACGCGCGCCTGCACCTGTTCGTACTCCACCCTCGCCACGGTGCCGAACGACTTGGCCGTCTCGGACGTGTCGAATGTTGAGCGTGCGCGCTTGATCTCCGTCAGGAGCTGCTGCCACGCCGCGAGTGAGTCGCCTAAGCGCGCGTAGACGGATTCGGCTTCGAGGTCCCAGAGCGATTGGAACTGGAGCCATTTGCCGACGTAGTCCCGGAGTTGCTGGACTTTGGCTTCGATGAGGGCGAACGGCTTTTGGAGGACTTCGTCGGGCAGTTGCGTCAGCTGTAAGGTGTACGGTTAGTCCGTGATCAACGTGAAGGACGAAGAGCACGCACCAGAGAGGTGTAGGTCAAATCCGCGGCTTCGGCGCTCTGTATCTGAAGCCCGATCTCGTACCGCGAACTCTGTATCCTCCTTAACCTGCACACGACACCTATGGATCCATCAGTGCCCACGTCCAACATATCAACAAACGCGAAAAGCACATACCAAGCCAATCATGCAGTGTCTGCACCCACGTCCCCCTCGCATGCTCGATCGGCGGATCCAAAAAGATGACCTGATTCTGTATCCTGATCTCATGCACGATCGGATGCAACGCCGTCGCCATACTGCTCTCCGTGAACTTATCCGCCCCCTGCCCTCCCCGCCTATCGCCCTTCCTCCCCTTCCCCGTCGTCAGCCTCGAATCGCCCTCGTCCGACCGCTCAAACTCCTCGCACCACACCTTCAACACAGCCTCGATGCGCCCGCGCAGGATCCCCTCGATCTTCAGATCGAGCTTCTCGACCCACTGCTCGAGGTTGGCGTAGCCTTCGAGGTTGAGCCGGTCGATGGCCGCTTGGACCTTGCCGAGGAGCTCGGAGAAGGCGTCGGAGGTGTATGCGCAGGTCGCGAGGTCTTCGACGGCGCGCGAGATGTCGCGGTAGAGCGCTATCACGTTGTTCGTCTTGTCTTGCAGGAGGGATACGACGGACGCGAACTCGCGGACGAAGGAGACGTGTCGAATGTCGCGGCCGTCGGCCGAGGGCACGAAGCGCGCGGCGTCGTACTGCGAGACGAAGTGGTCCCAGCGTATAGCCATGCCTGCACACGATTACTCAGTACAATGCTCATACGGCTAGAGGTCGATGCAAAAACGTACCGCGCGTGATCATTCTCTGCGCCTCATTCCTATACTCCGCGACCAGCCACTCGATCTCGCCATTCGTGCCCACAAGCTCGAGCGTCTGCCCGTACGTCCGCACAGTCTCCATCAAACTGACAGCATGCGGATACACCCTCTTCGCGTCCTTCGCCAGATTCCCCACCGCATGCGGCACCTGAAACCCCAGCCACAGCAGATTCCTGACCTCCTTGAACAGCGTGATGATCTGCGGATCGAAGTTGACGGCCAGCACCATCCCGCCGCCCCTCAGCCGCACGATTTCGAACAGGCGCCCGGAGACGCCCATGTCGCGCCGGTTGATGTCGTGCAGCCAGGCGTCGAAGAAGGGCCGCGTGTCGAGCTTGCGCCGGAAGGCGGAGGACTCGGCTTGTAGCTTCTGGCCCTCGGCGTAGAGCTCCCAGCCGCGGCCGAGCACGTCTTCGACGCGCTTCATGTAGGCGAGGAGTTGGCGCTCGATTTGGCGCGCCCAGATTATGGCGCCTGCGATGGGCGGGAGGTCGCGCATTTGGGCCATGTGGTAGGCTTCGCTGTAGCGGTACTGCGTCTTGAACTGTAGAAGTAGCATATGTTAGCACGCTTCATCCTATACGGGCGGGCATGGAACATGCCTTGTCGTGTAGCCGCTTGATGTCCTCCTTGACGGAATCGATGAGCTGCGTCTGGTACTCTTGAATAGCACCGCGAATCTTCGGGCGCACGAATAGCGCGTTGAACTTGCTGAAGACGCGGAACATCTCGTTTGCGTTACGCGCCGAGCCCAAGCGGTCGCGCAGGCGTGAGATGATCTGGTTCTCGACGCGCGCCACGCGCTCGTTGTACGCGTTCTCGGCTGTGACCCAGATCTCCGTGCCATCTATACCGCAAGAGTGAGTGATGGGGCGCTTATGCAGAGAGTGGGAGACGCACCGGTGGACACGTCCAACACGTCGATCCGCTTCATAACCTCATACGCCTCCTTGACCTCCTCCTCCATATCCATAACTCCACCACCCTCCGTCCCGATCCCGCCCAAACTGATCCCTCCCAGCCCCTTCGTCGGACCCGTCATCACGGCGAGCTGCTCATGCTGTTTCCTCCACTCCCTCAGGTACCGCACGCGTTCCTGCAGTCGCGCATGTGCCGGCGCCACCTTGATAGGAATGAACTTTTCCGAGCGCTTCCTAGTGACCTCACGCGCGACATTGGTGAACTCCTTCATATGCTCGTCCCACGCTCTAAACACCGCATGCGCAGAAGACATCGTGCGCTCGAACGTCTCGTACGGCTGATACAACAGTCGATGGCTGACGAGCACCCGCAGCAGCACATCGTTGAAGTCGCGCGAGATGGCCTCGACGAACGGTAGAGCGCGGCGGATGGGGTACGGCGAGATCTTGAGCTTGCGGATGATGTGCGTGAAGATCAGCGCGAGCGCCTCGCCCGTTTTGTCGAGGTCGGGCGCGGAGAGGAGCTCGTTGAGCGGGAAGTCCTTCATGAGGAGGTTGTACTTCCGCACGACGTCCGTCGCGTCTTTCAGGCCTGTATCCGCGATGAAGGATACGGTCGCTCGGAAACGTTTGGCGTTGCGGAGGCAGTCCATGACCATGTTGACCTCGTCGCTCCGTAGTTGCGCTTCGATGCCCTCCAGCGCCTGTTCGAGCGAAAGCCAGAAGTTGATCTCCTGCGACGCGGTGCCGGACGTGACATCTCGGTTGAGCTTGGTAACGGCTTGAATAGACTTGATCCAGGTATTGACGTGCGCGTGGAGGGTATTGAGG